GACCTTTCTCCACTTTCGCCAATTCTGCGTTCGCTGCTGCTTCGGTTGATTGTTGGATTGCTACTTACGAAAATCTTCTACAAGATGCGGAGAATCGCCCAGGCGTTGTCTTCGCGGATTGTGCGGACGTGTAGATAGAGGAAACGTAGGAAGAGCGATAGATCTGGGGCGAGAGACGGAGGAAGCTGGAACGAGACAGTCACGAGCCGAGGCTTGTGGCGCTTCGCTGGACGAACAAGAGAAGCACAAGAAGAGGCAGCCCAACGCTCCACGAGGAACGCCTAGGTCGAAATTTCGACACAAGCGCTGCAAATGGATAAATAGTCTGAAAAGCTGTAGAAAACTGCGGCAGTTTCGAGCGAATGAGTTTCTTGACACACACGTGACATGTTCCGAACCAATAGGAGATGCGAATTCAACGTATTTGAGGTACGTTATCAACCGAGATCGAAATTTGGGGGAAAGACGGCCAGTGGATGTTTTCAATTGGCTGCTCTCTGATCATTCTCGAATTGCATTGCGAAGCGATAATTGGTCCTGGGGCGAAAGTCTGGTGTCTGGAAACCGTCGCTACATAAACGATGGCAAGTTGAGGGACACCAACGTTGTAGCGCCCAGAAAGCCACTCAGAATGTCACTCAGGATTCCTCTTTGCTCTTCTCAAAGTCCGTGTTCTTGAGGCGCTGGCCACGGCTTGCTCTACTTTCTTGATCAGCAGGGTCACTGCAGTAGACGGCAGACCCTGAACAAGAGCGTGGGCTGAATCATACTGATGACAACACGATGGTTCTGGACAGCGTGCATACCTTCAGAGCACTCTGAATTGATGCTGGACAGCTGGGGGTCACTTCTCTGGCCTTTTGGGTTGTGGCCTGGAATGTCCCGCAAGACAGACCGGGAACGGGTAAGGTGAGGCCACCACCGCTGCAATTGCCAATTGGCCCGCGTTCGCCTCCCTTACTGAGGCGCCATGAAGAAGGAAGCTGGTGAGGGTTGAGGGCGAAGCGGAGCCGAACGGTCCCAACAGAGCTCCGACTTCGCGTCGTTTCGGCGCAATTCTCAGCATTTCATGGCCATGCACCGCGCTCTTCGCTTTGTTATCTCCCGTCTACCCCCCCCCCTCCATAAGACCCCACCGCTGCAGATTGCATACAACCAAGCACACAAGATGAGAAGCAGAGTCACCACGTCCACAGCCCGCACCTCCACTTCTACGCTACTTGCCGTGGCGTACCGCCCTGCCGCACACACTGCCACCGCTCTGCCACTTTCGGGTACGTATTTAAATAATAAATATTCTATATTTTTTTGAGCGTTTGTAAATCGATTGATGAATTGATTGATTGCTTGATGTGCTCTTCATGAAGGGCCACGATTTGTGCGTGCACTCGCGACCACCACAACCGTCGACGGCGGGAAGCAGCGAAAGAAGCTCGTGGTGTTGGGCAACGGCTGGGCCGGCTATCGCCTCATCCTCGACGTCGATATCAGCAAGTATGAGCTCAGTGTCATCAGCCCCAGGTACCCCCCCCCCGCTTCGCCTCCCAACACTGTGCGCTGCAGCCCAGCGGCAGAGACCACCGCAGACTGTTAGTCTGACACCTTCCGTTACGTAGGAACTACTTTCTGTTCACCCCTCTGCTTACCTCCACCACTGGTACATCACAATCCCACCGCTACTGTGGTGCCTTCTCGACTCATCTTCCTTCGTTCTTCTTCCTTCTTCGTTTCGTCGTCCTTCTTACACCAGTCAGTGGGCACG